ATTACATCTCATTTACTACACCCTTCTAAGTTAACGACCGACTTGACTTTGAAATATATAATAACTAACTAAATAAATAAATAAATAAATAAAGAAAGAAAACACTGTAATTTGTTACAAGTAAATACTGTAAGCTATTTGAAAATGCAGAATTACTACCATCAGCAAAATCAAGTACAACTGTAACACCACCTTCTTACCTTTTTTAGTTTGTCATTGATAGGGTAGTCATTACTTCTAAAGCTGTCCACTAGTTTTGGAAGAACATTGTTTCTTACATAACGGCAGTTGTTGAGCACAATCAGTAACCTTTCATCCTGGCAAAGATATGCACATACACAAGTTATTGAACTATCCTGAGGTCTGTTCTTTTTTGCAGGTTTATAAACTGGCACAAAAAGAGAATGAGACCAATATTCTCCACTACAGACCAAACAAGTTACAGTCAAACCTCCTGTTTGCGACCATCGCAAATGTCAAGCCAAGGTGGTCACCTACAGGAGGGGGTCCCTTATGAGAGCTTAAACCATAGCAGATCAAAATGTTGCCTCATCAGCATATTGTCACTGCAGAGACATGTTTTAAACATTTTATTCAGGTAAAAAGTCAATTTCGAGGAAAAATCCAGTTTCCTTTTGAAATATTTCCATCTTTTGTATTACCCAGGAATACAATAATGTTGTACAATGCCTTATTATCCAATTTTCTCTCTATTATCTCTCAAGTAAGTGCTTATGGGAGGTTAAGAACAAAAGAAAATTTCAAAATTAAAAGTGGTCGTGGCTACTTACGAGAGGTGGTTGCTTATAAGAGGTTCCAAATATAGTGATAGGACTTCAAAACTTAAGGTATTTTGGAAAACTGGTCCCTGGGGAGAGGTGGTAGCTTACCAGAGGTTGTCGCAACTGGAGGTTTGACTGTAGTTCAATAAAGAATTTATTACAACTGCTCATTAACATCTGCCGATAAATTGGCGCATCTCTGAGATGCATTCTCAGTAACTGTATTGCAAGAAGTAAGCATTTATTTATGTTTGTGTTCACTGAAATTGTCCTCCAAGCATGAAAGTAAAAGGATTTCTAAGAAACAAAAAACATTTACCATAAATCATTGAACTAGCACCCCCCTCAAATAAGCGCCCCTGTATCGGCCAAAATTTACAATAAGCACCCCCCTCCTCACCCACCATTTTCTGGACAAGTAATGAGACAACAAAGGATGTATAGTTTCAGTTTGTAAACACATCAAGTTTGGAAAAAAATTACAAGTACTAACAGTGCAGCGATTTAAACTTTAGGATCAGCTATTCATGTCAATAAACAGCTTATGTTGTTGTTAAAAGTGCCACCAACCCCTAAATTTTTTTATTGGTTTAATATAATCTACTAGTTTCCCTGAATACTTCAGCAAAAAAATTATCTTGATTGATAAAATCCCTGCATTTCTACAGGTGTTTGAACAAGTAATTTCTATGTTCACGACTACGCAAAGTGGGATCTGGGTCGGGCTACAAGTAGCATCACTTCGAGAACTGGGCTAAAATGCTCAAGAGACTTTTGACTGAGATTTGTGGGCTGTCAAAACATTTTTGGGTTATTTGTGATTCATACTTTATCAAGAGTGGACAAGATTTTGAAGCAAAAGAACTGTATCATCTAGCATTACAATTCAGAGTCTAGCTACAATTTGGACGGCTGCGATATATTTTTTCCATTTCAAAGTGGGGGTCGCCAGTTGAGATTGCCATGTTGTAATTTAGGCCAGCATCAGGATCGACAATTTGCTAGTCCATTTAGGCTGTAAAGGTACAAATAATGGCTGAAAATGGAGTTATGAACATGAAGAGTTGGTAATTTGACTTTACTGAACTTGCAGATTTCGGAGTGTCAAAACATTTTTAGATTCAAACATTAATTCCCCCAAAATACAAGTTAATATGTGATGCAGTCGTAGTCTACTTCTTCCTACTTCTCCAAATCAGTGTAAATAGGTTTAACATAAGAGATAAGCAGAGATGTTGGCAAAAAATATCCTTGAAAGATGAGGTAACTTTTCGCTTTGTTATTGTCGATTGACTGTAGTATATCCACAGTCAATTACTGTGTAGGAACACAAGCTACACAAATTTGCATATTTCATACCAGTAAATCATGGGAAATCCTTCGACAAGATCAGAGAGGTTCAGTATGGTATCACTTAAATGAATACATTCCTACTTCACTGATATTTTGAATGAAATGTCCATTTTACGTACGCTAATAACCTGGGAGTTCTTGACTTACTAGTTTGCGTTTTGGTTGACTGACAAGCACATTCTTCTTTCAGGAAAATTTCTGTCGGAAGCTATAGTGTCAAATCTTAATTGTTTGTTTCGCTTTCCTCATATATTTATAACTGCTTGATCCCTTCTAAGTTTGTAATTTAGTTATATTTTGTTCCTCAAAGACAAAGCTCAAAGAACAAAACAATTCTCTATTCGGAACGGCCATTGAGAAATACGGCCACATTATGACCTCTCGTACATGTATCATGGTAACATGGTATCTGTTTTATTTATTTAAAATGTTTTTAAAGATATTTTAATTAAAAAACAAAAACAACAAATGATTAAATTACGAAATTATGGTGGCACAGCACAGGTTTATTCTGTCACAAGATGAACAAATCTGCTAGCATTGGGAGATTTTCACCACTAATCAAATTAAAGTTCATGAAAATAAATAAAACAGCGTTGTCTGCTGGTGGTAAGAGTTTGTTTCTCTGAGTTACTATTGTGTTGTTGCAAGCAAGAAGTGACTTGTATGGCATCACTATCCTGTAGTTTTTCCACTCTACTGGATAGCACCACTGCCTGTGGTTTTTAAAGCAACGACTATCCGGGTCAGATCTCCAGACATCGTTAGTTACATGGACTAAGTTGAGATAATAATGCCCTTAGCAGAGAATGCATGATTTAGAGGCACAAAAGGAATGAGTGGAAAACACTAATCTCATGTGAGAAAATATGCTTTGCTCTTGCTGCTCGTATATCACCAGCCTTTGCTAACNTTATGAACACGAAGAGTTGGTAATTTGACTTTACGGAACGTGCAGATTTCGGAGTGTCAAAACATTTTTAGATTCAAACATTAATTTCCCTGAAATACAAGTTAATATGTGATGAAGTCGTAGTCTACTTCTGCCTACTTCTCCAAATCAGTGTAAATAGGTTTAACATAAGAGATAAGCAGAGATGTTGGCAAAAAATATCCTTGAAAGGTGAGGTAACTTTTTGCTTTGTTATTGTCGATTGACCGTAGTATATCCATAGTCAATTACTGTGTAGGAACACAAGCTACACAAATTTGCATATTTCGTACCAGTAAATCATGGAAAATCCTTCACCAAGATCAGAGAGGTTCAGTATGGTATCACTTAAATGAATACGTTTCTACTTCACTGTTACTTTGAATGAAATGTCCATTCTACGTACGCTAATAACCTGGGAGTTCTCGACTTACTAGTTTGCGTTTTGGTTGACTGACAAGCACATTCTTCTTTCAGGAAAATCTCTGTCGGTACCTATAGTGTCAAATCTTAATTGTTTGTTTCGCTTTCCTCATATATTTATAACTGCTTTATCCCTTCTAAGTTTGTAATTTAGTTATATTTCGTTCCTCAAAGATGAAGCTCAAAGAACAAAACAATTCTCTATTCAGAACGGCCATTGAGAAACAAATGATTAAATTACGAAATTATGGTGGCACAGCACAGGTTTTTTTCTGTCACAAGATGAACAAATCTGCCAGCATTGGGACATTTTCACCACTAATCAAATTAAAGTTCATGAAAATAAATAAAACAGCGTTGTCTGCTGGTGGTAAGAGTTTGTTTCTCTGAGTTACTGTTGTGTTGTTGCAAGCAAGAAGTGACTTGTATGGCATCACTATCCTGTAGTTTTTCCGCTCTACTGGATAGCACCACTGCCTGCGGTTTTTAAAGCAACGACTATCCGGGTCAGATCTCCAGACATTGTTAGTTACACAGACTAAGTGGAGATACTAATGCCCTTAGCAGTGAATGCATGATTTAGAGGCAGAAATGAGGAATGAGTTGAAAACACTAATCTCATGTGAGAAAATATGCTTTGCTCTTGCTGCTCGTATATCACCAGCCTTTGCTAACTAAAATGGCACAGCCCGTGTTTCTGTGTTTTAGTCATTTCAGTCACTTATGATGCTCAATTTTGCTGTTATGATTAGGTTTTAGAAGTAGCGATAATCCACCCCCACCCCACCCCCAAGAAAAGTAATTTCAAAAGTCATGACAGTTAATACTCCAGAAAGCAGAATGCAATCTGCATTTGTATTGAGAGGTACTAGCCTGCGAGCAGGCATAATATATTGGAGAAGAGAAAGTAGGAAAGGAAAAAGGGAATTAGAGGTGCCACCCAAGCCTGTTTGCCTTAAAAGAATCTACCTGGACATACTTCAAAAAGCCATATTAGCATTAATATGGATGAACTCTGTGCTGCTCATGTAATAAATGTTTGTTTAATTTTTCACATAAAATGTCATGCTGCTCTCGACAGATATTGCAATCACTTTATATGGAAGTGAACATATTTGATTTGTGTTAACAAGCACTTCTTAAAACTATTAAGAGTACAACTTCAACAAGTNGTTGAATTTCCAGTTCCAGCTTGTTCTCAAAGGCTGGCTAAAAAGGGGAATCAAGAAGCATCACACAACCCACTATAGCTCATGATGAAACCCACGAAGTTGAAGAACTTACCTGTTGTCCCCTGTTGGACTGTGTAAAGGCACAAGTATTTACGACAAAAGGCTCCTTTGTAAGACTTCTGTACAAGCTCATTCTCGCGCTCATTCTTATAGCTCTCAACTAAATCTGGGGCTTGAATTTTAAGAGTCTGAGCCCCTCACACTTGCAATCAAAACACTTTGAAGTCTCGGTCTGGCAATCTAAAAAGTCAATATATCTCGGGCTTGCAAAGAAAAACACTGGTCTCGCTGTCTCGCAAAGTCTTGCATTTACCATTCACCACCCCTAGTAATATCAGGTTACCTCTAGCTAGTAAAATGAAATTCTATTTGATAAGTCATTTTTACCTTCCTTTTCTCTATGTCTCCACTTATGGCTATTTCCCTTAACATATGAAGTGTTTCCATAACAATGTTTTCAAACATCAGTGGCTGTAATGTAATGAATACTGTTAATGTGAAAAAAACAAGAAGCTAAAGAGCTTAGAACTGGGTCTGCTATGTAAATGCACATCAAAGGAGCAGCACGGGCAACCTTTGAGAAAGCCCACTCACACAAGTCAAATAAGAAATTGTGGTCTCTATGCAACTGAGAAAAAAATGTGTTCTTTGGCCAGTGAAGAAACTTTACTTCCTAAGTCTTCAGAAGTCATGAACCTCTTCAGAACCTACAATTTCCTGAGCTCCCTGTTCCACGCAACTGTATCATTTTAAGGACTATGTTCATCGTCTCTGTTGTTTGTTCTATTGCTTCTCACTCAAACCTGTTAAGCCTTCTGAGAAGTGCATGCCCGGGGGGAGGGGGGAGGGGTATTCCCTTGTATGGGCCATATAGGTATGTGTGGCCCCAAATGGCATGGTTTTTCAGCCATTTTTTTCATAAATAGGGGATTGATTTTCGCCATTTTGGTCATCAATAGGGTATGGTTTTTGTATTCTAGACTTGAATTGGAAAATATGTTTCTTGGAAGATGCTACTTTTTCATCATTATCCATTTGACCATCATCAAAAGCCCCTCATAAATGTGACTGTTCACAGGCAAACATACTTAAATGCTTATTCTTTAAACTGCATAAAACTAACAGATAATTAATGGATAGTTAATGGTCTTCAAAGCATTCTAATGCTTCTAATGTTCTAAAGGCTAACAAGTTTGCCTAACAGTTCTTTACAGCATTCTAACGCTTTGTCCTAACAGTCAATGGCTTACTAATTCTGCCTAACAGCTCATGAAAATGATCGGTAGCCGATGGATGGCTGAGAAAAAATCTAACAGATAGCCATGAAAGTTTCTTACGCTTGCATCTGATCTGCTTGAGCATAAGCAATTGGTGCCATCCATGCTATACAGCCAAATAACAGTTTGATCAATTGCTACAGAAAAAGGTCAATATCCCCATGAAAATTTAATGCCGATTTCATTCATAACTGAAAAAAACAAAAAAAAATCCAGGAATATTTCTGGAATGTTGACTGTAACCAGTCAAAATCTTCCAAAGGCAGGAAACCATAAATTACAAAAATGATTACTATAACTCATAGAACAACATACTTTTAGTTTAACTGAAATTCAAACGTCTACAATCTGTGTTTGGCATTCAAGAATTTTCACATCACTGTCACCTATGTACACCTCTAGTGTGCACAGTAGCTAAGAATTGTCAATTCTAGATTGCATTCAACCAAAATTTTACCACACTAGGTAATTATTATAAGTCACTTCTAAAACATTATTTGTTTAGTGGCCACAGTCTTACCAGGCTTGTAATCCGGCCAACATTTTCCTGCAACTCTAAAGTCCAAAGCTCATTGCAATGTAAGGACTTGATGTCTAAAAAAGATTTGTCACAATACATTTAATTTAGCAGACACTTTGGATAAGATTATTATATAATGTTCTAAGAGACAACTTGAGATAAAAGCTTTGCATGAAGTGATGTACCAACACATGTACTAAACATGTAGTTATACTGGGGCACCATCAAAATCTAAAATATTGGCATCAATGACAAATGCTTCTTAATAAACTGACTTGACCCTGATCTACTGAAAAATGGCAAAGACCAAAATGGGCGAATTTTCATTGATCATTGAGCATACACAATGTCAAAGAATAATTTGTGGTATGAAACGTGTCATATTATGTTCATAAAGATGACTGCATTTCTAATTTCCATTTTTAATATACTGTGTCCCCAATTAGCTCCTTGTCACTTAGGAGCTAGATCCTCAACTGACACATAAATAAAGTTTCTTCTTCTGGCACAATTGGTCAAAATAACCTCCATAGTTTTTTGTCTAGCACGCCTAATTTTCACAGACCAAACTTAAGCCATTTAAATATGGTATACCCATGGCATAGTTCTTTCTTCAGAACCTTTGATCTGTCAAGAGATTCGTATACTAGAATAGTTATGACCCTTTAAAATCTGTTGAAATTTTACATGTAAATTAAATTAGAAAACAGTCCTCAGAAAATGTGCACGCTAATTGGTTAAAAATCGTGTTTCTATAACTCAAAAGAAACACAGAACTAGCACGAGCTGTTGACGTAATGATGTTGCAAGTGAAGAGAATTTACATTTTGATAATCAAAGTTAACAAGTTTTTGTCCTTCTTTTGGTCGTGGTGTTTTCCAAAAGAAATAGAAAACATGTTCTCCATGTTTCTATCGTGTTATAAAAACACTAAATGTCTTGTGAAAGTTTGGGAGAACTCGAAAAAGCTGAGTTTTAATAAAACACATTTCACCAGCTGGTTAAGATTTAAAAAAAAAAGCAATGGCAAAACTTTTCACCTTGGGACATCAAACCTAATTTTTATTAATGTTGAGTGTGTGTTGTAAATTCTCTTTACTGACTGCCATTAATTCATTGTAACATTAGCTCAGATAGGAGGTTGCACAGCAGTACAATATTCTCTTATTCCCTTGTGATAGTGGTATTTATTTGACAAAAAACAACTGAAGAAAGTAGAAACACAGTTGAAATATAATTTGCTTTCTTTTCACATAAATGGGTGATTCCAGAAAATATCCATACCCTACCAATGCACAGGCAGCATGAACATTTTAACCCCCCCTTGCCTTCGGAAAATCCAAAATGCTCTACCCCCCATGCCCTCTGAATTCCAAAATCATTAACCTCTCTTCCCCTCCAGAATTTTTTTTTTCAGCCCCTTTGGAATTCCTGTTTGACTGCCTAAACAAACAGGAAACTTGTGCTTTTCCCCCTCCAAGAAAATTCTGCTCACAATTTTTGGTCAAGTGAACAAGCAGTTCAAGTTTATTATAAACATTTAATAAAGTACACCATAGCTTTCCCTTCTAAGAGTTATCTTAAGTTTGAGCTGCTTACCACCAAATAAAACTTTTTGTTTTCAGTTCATTTAGCTTCATATTTTCAGAAGAGTAGATCATATTGATACCAGTGGAAGACAAAAGTAAAGTTCATGATGTGCTGGCTGTCACCTGCCATATTGAAAATTTTCTTCACTGAGTAACTGCTGACCACTAGTAATGCAGCCTACAAATCTGTCAGGTGTTCCATTATTTTGGAAACAAGAGACTGGTGCGAGTTTTTCGCAAGTAACAAGATCATCGATCGACAATTTTAGATTGGAAAGAAACACAGACTGGTGTTATATTTTATTAATCTATCAACTAATTCATCAACTTTAAGGCCTCTTCGATGTGGAGCTCACTGCACGACCCATCCGCTCACTCATCCGCATGAACGCTAACACCTGCCTGATTGCTCTTTATTCCGCTTCTGCCGTTGGTTTGTGGTTGATTTACAAACTGGAAAAGCTATAAGATCAGCGATTTCAAGGGAGCTTTCAAGTTTTTGCTGTCTTCTCCCTCTGGAAATTCAGAGCTGAAATCACCTTTGACCAAAATTGGCATCATCTACACTTGAGTTCTGCAGGAGGAAAAGATCTTTCCAATGATACCTAGATCAGAGTAATCCGGTCAATGGAGGCTGAAATAATTATGCATGAAAATGTTCAGAAATTTAAGTGAAAAACTTGGAGCAAAATTTCCTTCAACAACACTTGGCTACTCAATGGTGAGAATTGCCCACCTCGATGATGCTTTCTCAGGAATGTTTGAACTGAAAGCAAGCCCAGTGAAAGGTCAATCACTGCCCCAAAAAATAAGAAAAGGAGAAAAAGGAAGGGCAAAAAAAATTAATAAACTGAAAAGCCTATAGACGCAAGTCACTATTTTGTCCAAAAACTTGCAAAGTTTTGCCTATGCAAACATGTCATAAAATGCGATGCTATTTGAAAGAAAGGCTTACTGACATGTTGCAAATGCCTTTTTGAGTAGATTGCAGCTAATTTGGCTCGTGTCAAAAATGTCCAAAAATGTGTTTTTGGCAAAAAGCTCCAGGAGTCAATGGGTTAACTCAATACAACTGTGTTTGATATACTTTTGGTGCAGAAATGTGTAACTACATGGTGTGTCAAACTCTGAATGAATGATGCAAGGATGGTAATATGAGCACAGATATTATAGGACCAGAGCTGAGTATCCATATTATGAAGGCATTTGTATTATGGGGTGTCTATGAAGGGAGGATCAACTGTAATATTCTGCAAAACTAAGCTGTCAAAAGAATTTCCTGTAAATTATACATAATGTACAATTATTTGTTTTAAAATTCCAAATGCACTTAAGATGTAGACTGTAAACTTGAATGCAGGGAAAAAGGGCTTGAAACAGTTATGTGTTTTTCCAAATAACACAGCTACTAATTAATTTCAGGTAATTTCAGGTCAACATCTTTGTCCCAGGAAATGTTACTCTTATGTTGCCATAACAGCCAACAACAGGAAACAAAATTAGATGGAAATGTTCTATTTTGTCTCTTTGTCAGAAGATGTCCCTAAATTTCTGTTGCAAATCTGTTGCAAAATTATTATATGTTTTAAACTAATATATTACAGGGATCAGTTCTCTTATCAGCCTTAACTAGTAAGTAGTAGCAGACCATCGAAAGGCCTGAATATCTTTTTGAATAATAATTTCATAAATACTTTTCAAACCACTCTACTTAAATAATTTATAAGTTCATCTACAACTGTCTTAAATATCCAACAGAAAAATTTCAAGAATGGATAATGCACCTTCAATAGCTTCTTTGAATACTTCTTTGGCACAGAGCAGTCTAAGGTCCCCAGCCAGCTTTTTAATGCAGTCCAGAGCTTGTGGTGGCAGAGACAGTTTATGTAGAGACTCTAAACAAGACCTGTAAGGAAATTTTTATAACATGCATTCTGCCATGGATATAGTGATTTGGAATAGATTAATCCTGCACCATAATGTTGACAAACGTATCTAACTACAAAATCTTGACTCAAAAACAATTGAGATCTCATTCAAGACTGTCACCTATGTTTATCTTGATTTCTAGAAGAATTCCAAATATTCCAAATTGTGGTTAATCTTGTATTGTAATAATTTGTAGGATACATTTTAAACTATTTGTACAATTTCTAGATATTTGCTTATTTATTTTCACATTTATAATGTAAAGGAATTATTCCTTTATGTTGTGTCCCCAATTAGCAGCTAAATACCCCAGACACTTTAATAAAGGTTTTGTTGTTGTTGTTGTTGTTTACAAAAAACATGTCCTAATTCACTGGGTGATCTTTACACATGCATTTTTCAGGGGCTTGGCCAGGTTTAGTTCCAATCAGCCATATGCTTTCTCCTGTACTCTCAGCATTGTGATCACTGCCCCCACACAACTAACTCCTCCATAAGCTCCATACCCCTACAGAGGTAACATAAAATAAGTTATCAATAGCCAGATGGAGTAACTTTTGTGTGAAAACTGGCGACAAGTGAGTGGGCTCAGCAACGAGCTTTATCTCAATCAACCTTTCAAGCTACGGCTTCCGGGCATTGATTGTCTCGTAGAGTTTGTCAATGCCAAAGGACCAGGCTGCCTTGTTTTTAAGAAGGATCTAAAGCGTGTTTTTGGGCAGATTCTGATTGACCCAGCGGATTGTCCTTTGTTGGGAACGTGCATTGATGATGGTTTGTACTTTCATACTTCACTGCCCTTTAGCCTTCTTTCCGCAACTTTGATTTGTCAGCATACCACCAAGAGCATCACGTATATCTTAAACAAGGAGGCTATTTTGGTTGATGTCTACATTGATGATTTTTATGGCGTTGACATTCCGTCTTCTGCTGAGTCTTCATTCCTTCAGATGAACACTTTGTTTGATGAGTTAGGCGTCTTAGCTTTGCCTGAGAAAGATGCTCCACCTTGTACACAAATGCTTTGCTTAGGTGCAAAGCATAAGTCAGGTCAGGCTTATTTTCTAACCTGTAATGATGTTAGCTTTGCTTCTACTGGAGCAGTATTTCAGATTTATAGAACTAAGACTATTCAATTTCACCAGCGGCTGCTTGTTCTTGAAATCCTGTTGCCTTTCCTTCCTAATTCCATTTTGTGTCCGGTTTCTGCTTTGTTAATTTATTTTAAACAAACAGTCTCAGAATTGGAATAACTGATTTTAAATTTCCATAACAATAGTTTCCAATGACACTGAACAAGACGAACTAAAAACTATTTGACATGTTCCTTTGAAACAAAGCAGAGCTATATAGAGTACATGACACCATCTGCTTGTGCTAAAAGCTGAATGACAATGTCAATTTCTACAAATGGATGCTCAGGAGAAAGTGCTGACTAACCCTTTACTACCCCAGCAACTAACAGCTTTCTCCTATCATGGCAAAGTAGCATGTTGATTACAAAATGATATAGCAAAGTACTACATTTTCCACGGTTAACTTTCATGAAGTTTTTTCTTGCAGGTCTTTACTTTTGTGATTTTTGCCAAGTTGTAAAAATCAAAAGTGGTACTATGATCAAATTTTTAGCCCTGATTTTTTAGGTGTATCACATGGATTTTCATGAAAGAATGAAAACACCATTCACTGTTTGCAAATATCTGCATTGGTTCCAGAGATATTTAAGTTTGAAACATGGGTACATTATGCAAATGAGCTGACTGATGATGTCATACACTCAACCCAATATTATATCAAATATATATAGAGCTATCTTGGGCAATTTGCAGCACAGACCATTGAAACCTGGTAGGCTAATAGCTCTACAGGCAACACACCTATGGCTATAAAAAATTTTATTCCCATGGCAAATCACTCTTTTCCAGTCCCCACCCACCTGATTTCAATATGTTAGTGATTTTCAGCTTGAAAAACATTAAACGAGGCCACGAGCTTGAGCTAACATATTAATATGCTTGCTGGACCATGCATATGAGGCACCATTAGCAAATATCAGAATGGAATGCCAAAGGTGGCCAGAAAAGCCTTTAATATTGGGGAGATCTGAAACCCAGTATGTTGCTATGGTAACAAAACTGTCAAGCTTGTATTGTGGACCACAATTAGTAGAATATTACCACAAAGAATCAAACATTTCTGATTCAAATTGGCTGAGATATCTTTCTTCATCACATTTGATCAAAATTTGGTTGAGTGTGTGGCATCATTGCTTGGCTAATTTGCATATTTTAAAGACTTGAATATCTCTGGAATGAAAAGAGATATTTGAATATAGTAAACAGCAAATTTCTTCTCATAAAAACTACAGTGAAAACTGTATTAAGCGGACCCCATATTAAGCGGACATCCTCTATTAAGTGGACACCAGCTAGAGTCCCAAAACTTTCCTCTACATTTACTGTAAAATAAACCTGCATTCAGTGGACATATCTGTCAAGCAGATGCGGACACCAATATTAAGCCATTTCATTGCACAAAACCTGCAATAAGCAGACACTTCAAGGGCTTTCTACTTCTGAAAGTTCAGCTCAGACTCCTTAACATTGTTCACCGATGTTGTTTCAAAGCTAAGTAGATTATTCCAGATTGATGAATTGACTGACTGAACATTGTGCTATGAACAGTCTTTGATCTTACACTGTGTTACACTGTGTTACAAAAGGGTTAATAATTAACTACTATTGCACAATAACATTATGTTAAAACCTGCTTAGAGCAGACACCCTGTATTAAGCGGACACTAGTGAGGGTCCCAAGGGTGTCTGCTTAATACAGGTTTCACTGTACTTGTTTATGTTTTGAAATGGATTAGATAGGAAAGTTGCGATTTTCATCATAGTACCACTTTAAATTTCCTGAAAATAAGTCACAATTAGGAATGCATTAAAATTTTCACATACCTAACATATCTAACACATGAAGGCAGCCATGCACCCATGCCATCCATTGGACTGCACCACAAGACTTGCTTTTCCTTGACTGGCACAGTGAGAACTGCTGGGGTACTTGGGAAAAAGGCTGCTTTGACTAGATCTGCATACAGTGATGTCATATCTTGTATCATTTCCTGAGACAATGACAACAACTGCTTAGGATCAAAATGGCTACATCATCTAAGTATCTAAGAGATCTTCTTTTCCAGTGTACCTGGTTTTAGTACATGTTCACTAAATTTACTTTGGTTGCATTTACAAAAATTTTCTTGCATTTAAGTTGCATGCTTGGTTGCAAAATAATATTCAGCATTTGAGTGAGCAATTTTAACCCTGGTGCACATACATCTGAATAGCAGATTGTATAGTCAATCAAAGAAAAGAATCACTCAGACTTAACCAGATCTAGCCTTTGATTTTACCCCTAAGAGATCTGGGAATTAGTCCAACTGACTGACAGACAAATGGATAGAGTGGCTGACTTAAAGACCCATTAACCGATTCACGAGCGTGCTTGCGCACGTTGATTAGGAGGTGAAATTTCACTTCTGGTTACTTGAGTCAGCCTGAGCAGGGAAAATGTGAGCAATTCAACAACTTGCAAAGTTGGTTACATTTACAATGTTTTTCCTTTGTGTTTCACAAAATGCAAGGTCAAAAAGTACAAGCAAGAACAAAATAAGAGATCTCCATGTGGCTTTCATGTGCTTTGTTTGATCTTATTGAAGTGCTGCTGTTAGTGTGAACTGCACGTGCACTAAAACGGTAAATTTCAATAGATATCGGGGGCACTTCTGGTTTCTTTTAATGCTAAAGAAAATGCATTTTTTTCATTAAATCCAGTTTTTTTCAATGAGCAATGATTAAAGCCAACATTGGAAATATAGCTGTCTTCCTTTTGTGAAATCATGCTTTTTAAAGAAAATTACAAATTTTTAATATTTTGAAATTCTCCCAAAATCTATGCATAGCATAATAAAGATTAAAATTACAATATTAAATCAATAAAAAAATCCTGATCAAGTAATATGTTTGGGAACCTTACATTTTTTTCAGAATTAGTCAGAACTAGGCATGGCCTGATGACATCATCACTGCTGTCAATTGATTATGAAAAAGTTCAAACACATGAAATAACTCTTAACTACCTAAAAAGGACGAGGATATATGAGAATAAATTTTCCTTAGCAATGGCTCAAAAAGATCAGTTATTGGACCCTTAATAAATCAATTGGCCAATAATTGGCCAATTAACCATAACACCAGGGGTCCAGGGGCCGTTTCTTGAAGGTCCTGAAAAGTTTCACACCCAGAGAGCCACATAGGCTCCATAGAGAGCAAAATATCAAATCTTATGATTACAGAGCTGTTTTATTTACGTATTCTTAATATGACCAGAAGTTCCTTTCACACAGTCAAGAAGTTTGACGCATATACACCTGTCTGTTGTTAGATACAGTTTAACTAAAAATAGCTTTGTGGGCCTGAAAATATTCCAGGACTTTCAAGATACAGGCCCCTGATCACTGAAGCTGTTCTAACATTACTTTAATTTAGCATGATTTTGCATTCACTATAAACAAATAACTGCTAAATAAAACTATGGATGATGAACTACCTCAAACATTTTCTGTTTTTGTGCTGTAGGCTTGAGTTGTTTTGCTGATCCACTGGACTATAAAGAGAAGACAAAATTGAATTGTTTGTTGATGTAGAAACAATCATATCTCAAGAGTTCTGGATATCTTTATACAGTGAGCTTCTTAAACATAATCAGTACTCAGCAGATATCACTATTATTTTTAGTAAGTTAACAAAACATCTTTAGAGTACATTCTACTTTTTGAATGCATGCAATGACTGCTGATTTCACAAACTTGTTAGGTTAAAAAAACCAGAATTCAAGCATTGGCTTAACAACCAGGCATTAGAAAATAGCCATCAGTGAGTCACTTGAGTTAAAGGGACAGTACATATCATAAGCTGCACATGTCTAAAACTGCTTTTTCATATCAGCTAAAATATTTCTTTTTAGAGGGGATTTTTAATGTAATGTGTTAATGTGTAGTTAAGGAAAAGCAGATTTGTCAAAACTTAGTTATTTTGAGGTCTGTTTGAGTTTTTTTTAAAAAATAACTTCTAACTTGTGCCGTGTTTCCCGCCTGTCAGGTCACAGCATGATCAAGACAAGTTCATAAATTCACCAGTGCTAACCAACTCATGTAACTAATTTTTTCTCATCAACATCTCCACAGATTTCTGAGTTAAATGCACTATTTGAAAGCTAGGTGAATGTAGATTCTCCAGATTTACAGGCCACAATATGTTAAACAGCTAAAAAATCATGTCATATTTCACTCTACTTTCCATTGAATTGCAATGCAATCCATTTCAGTCTTTCAACTGGTCACAGTGCTAACCAACTCATGTAAATAATTTTTTCTCCACTACATCTGAACAGATTTCTATATGAAATATGCCATTTGAAAGCTAGATGAATGTAGATTCTGCAATACGTAATGATTTACAGGCCACAATATGTTAAACAGCTAAAAAATCATGCTGTATTTCACTCAACTTTCTGTTGAATTGCAACACGATCCATTTATCTTTCAAACAGTCACAGTGCTAACCAACTTATGCAAACAAATTTTCTTTCTCCACTACATCTCCAAAGATTTCTAAGTTAATTACTCCATTTGAAAACTAAGTGAATGCAGATTCCGCACTACACTAAGATTTAGAGGCNAAAAAATTTCTATCTGTAAGAAGTTACGTGTACTAATATTTTGCTTTTCTGCTCTCATGTGATCAAAGTTTTCTTCAAATGTGGATGGGTGCCGAGACTAATAGTGCGCTGGACAAAACTGTCCTGGATTGACGTTTTACAACAAAAAATTAAAACAAGCAAAGCAATGCAATGTAATCTTCAAAACAGGTGAAAGACCAATGTTGTGGCCAGAACAGTTTAAAAACTTCAAGATGAGTTCAAGAAGATCAGTTTCTGAGACAGTATCATATTTCAGTGGCCAAATAAGTTGTAAGTCTTTCTCACACTTTCTTGTCAAAATTGTGACAAGAAAATCCACCAGCACGTAAAGAGTTTCTTCGCAAAACAACACTCCAAATGTGACTCTTTTAAACAAACATTAAAGGAGGTCACTCCAAAAAGCTTACTCTGTTTCCACTCACTGAAGTTTCAGCCTCTGAAGTGCCTGCTATCATGAAGAAATTCGTCTTGAAAGAAGCGACTTCCGAGGCCGCCATTTTGAAACTGTCTTGGCAGTCGGGCCATGTTTATGTGACGTCATTCTGTCTGACTAGAAATTGCTGGGAATGAAGAAAACCTGCAACTGACTTTGCATCCTTCACAAGGTCAGCAAAATCTTTTTTTTTTTCTAAGCAATTAACCACTTCACTACCTGCAATGCTATCATTTCAGATTTTAGAGCACGTTTGGCTCAAAATAATATGGCTCAAGAGCAACCATAACCCAGAGTGGTAGTTAAAAGGCTCTTCGGAAGACATTTGGACAAAATCTTTCGAACAGAATGACGTCACGAAAACACGGCCTGGCTGCTGAGTACTGTTCAAAACGGTGGCAATGATGTTCAAATTTTGGGTTTCTTTGGAGACAAATTTCATGACGAAAACCTGCACTTTAGAGGCTGAGACTTCGCTGGGTGGCTAAACTTAGTACAAGGTTTCTATTAGCATTGACAAAAAAACCCCATTTCTTGGAGTGACCTTCCACTTTAAAGTTTACACCATATTGCCTTAGTATTTATAGCATTAGTTCCACAGTGCCTTAGTTCCACAGTGCCTTAGCGGATGGCAGCCCTCAAAATCATCCCAATAGTGCACTCTGTACTAAAAATGAGCCCAGTGACCCCAATTTGTTTTGGCCTTTTTCCCAGAGTTACCGGTAGCTTATCGTCTTATGGTACGACAAGTTTTTTTTTTAATTCAGTATGTAGGAACACCTTGGGCCCAAATGTACTTAAATAATGATTTCTGGTAACAAATTCATTGGTAGGGGCAGATTATTTGTAGAAAATACTGAAAATCATGAGATTATGCAACACACACCTAAAGAGGCAACACTTCTTGATTCTCTGATGTCCAACTCCATTTTTGAGGAATCAACTTGAAGCAAGGGAACAGAGTCTAACAAAGAAATCACAAAATCACAAAAATCACAGAACCATCTGAATTAGAATGCATGAAAAAAGAGTTTGATATTATGTAGTTTCATAACATCATAGCAACTGACCATCAATTAACTCTTAACATAATTATTATATTGAAAATAATTAAGATTGAGGCTTTAAGTGTTGATTCTCCTTCCCACAGGGCTGTCACAGGACTGATTATCTGGTGGCACATCAGTAAAATTATATTCCCTTAATGATGGTTGCATTAAAACTAGCCACAAGTTCACTTGACTGCTATACTGAAATTAATTTTGTAGAAAATAAGCATTAAAATAGAGTGTTAATTTGATGGTCAGCACATAAGGAGAATTCTTACCCTTAGATTTGTGATCTTCCTGACAGTTAGCCAGTAATTTGAGCAACCAATCCTTCTGGAGAACAAGGCACTCCCAAGCAGGGTCCCCTTGGTAGTCTAAGTCCACAAGATACCTACAATCAAGAAAAAAACCCTGCCATGTACTCTGCTGAGTCTGGACTTAAATATGTATCCAAAAATGGTACGTACAATCAAATAACAGAAAGGGTGTGATTCATTCTTTAATATATACTGTTTTTGAGAAGTGCACTGAAGAACAATCCTTCTTCATCTCATTTTAAATAATTAGAACCTTTAATTCTGGAACAACAGTATGGTTTTCTGTTTGCTCAGAATCATCTTTATGAATTCAGAGCTGTCTGCCTAGTACTAATAACAGAATAACAGTTTATACATATACCTAATAAGTTTCTTCTGTTCTTCTAGAGGTGATGGCAAGTCAGCTAGTTTCAGTTTAAGATGTTCCCGGAAGCTCTCTATTTTTGCCTCAACTTCTTGCAAAACTACATAAAAGTCACAAAATAATCGAAAGGTTGATTTATTAAAATAAAAGTGGTTTGTAGTCTATTGTCAGTGTAGAATGATGCTGCGATGAGTATTATTAGACAGTACAATGTAACAACAGCACTGGCTCAATCTGGGGAGCAAAACGGAGGGTACAAGTTGGACACATGGGTTCTTATTAAGGAAGTTACAGCTATTTTCTTTCAGTAACAATAAAATAACTTTAACTGTATACCACTTGAGGAGTAAATCAAGCATGTTTAAGCCTTTTCATCAAAAAAGGAAAATTGTTTCCATAACCTGATTATTTTCAGATACATTCCCCACATTTAGTCTCCATGCTATGTACGCCAAAATCTGATTTGGACACATCACAACACAAAACACTATATACCACAACTGTATCCTCCCCACTTTAAAAGGACTTTCAAATTACATGTAGCTTGGTTTATTTTTCATATCTATACAGTGTTTTGGCATCTCTATCAAGCTTAGATTTTGTTTTTTTCAAACAAATGCAATGCCTTCCTCCTGAAATCAAGCTTTAAAGTTCCTGGTTGAGCCAAAGCCATCAGAGTTGGCTAGAACTTTGGAAATACACAGAAATGCACAACCTAAATTCTGGCAGACAAATTTCCACAAGGGTACATACGTCAACATGAGGATGGTATAATGAAAGTGAGACCACAGCCCCTGTAAAGATCTTCTGGACAGTTCAAATTGCTTCAACTACATATGTACAATAGTTTCAGTCAATTTTGCCTGTATTGTGCAGGACACCCAACATATACACAGGACACCAACTCAAAATTAGGATGCATTCTTTCTTTGTTCAAATGAAATCAGCAAATATCTAAAGGACTGACTGATACACATTAAAATTACAACATATGGAAAGAGCTACTGACTTTTTTGTTTGAAAGAAGTTCTGAAAGACTCCTTAATGAGGAGATTAATACACTGAATTCATAAATGGCAGACTGCTCAGGTAAGCCTTGGTACAAGAGCATGAAAACAAGGCAGGTGAGGGTAGAATCCCTAACTTCAAAATGGTGATAAGTGAAGTGGAGACGTCTACAGCTCTGGTTTTACTAAAGAGCCTTACGGGAAGGAAACCAGCAGAGTTGGGAAAGGCTAAATATTTTCTGTTTTGGCAGCGATTTGAGCATGATCGTGAAAGCACAGCTCGTAAGACGACGGTATGTTTTATGATGTTTACATTGAATGATGGGGATCCTTCAGCAAATATAAGTAAGCTTAATGTAACCTTAATTAGGCTTAAAGTTCAACATGGAAAGTTTTTCTATTTTCCGCTATGTTTTTTAGACAAACAGCTGTAATATTTTACCACGTAAAATTGTTTAAATTGTTTCTTGTTTTTTTTGTCTTGCTGTGTCTTTACCAGTGAGTTGAGTACGTTTACAAGTTGCCAAGACAAATTTATTGTTAACTCCCTTATTCAAAATTATTTTAGCTGAAACCAAAAAGTCAGTGAATGTACTACTTCCCTTGCGATTCTTGATTTCCTATTAGGGATGTTACATGAGTAAGCATTTGCTGGACAAAAGCTATTGATAAGTCTGAAATCAATACTGATGGATATCAATTCCTTTATACATTAGTAATTTTAGGTTAGCATAATTTAGACATTCTTCCAAGAAGTTGATTTGTAATAAGAAACTTTCGTGTTCTGTGTTAACTGGCCTAATTATAGAGAAATTGTTTATTAAATCTGTAAAATTTGCTCTGGTAAAAAAAAAATTTACAAGTGTGCAGACACTATTGTGTGTCATAGCTGTAAGTTTTAAATGAATAGAGACCTCTTGGAGATGGATTTTTTTTTGGGGGGGGGATATTTGAAGGATTTTTTAAACAAAGGACTATAAAAACAATTTTCAGTGGTTCTATCACAGGAATAAGAAACATAATGCTCTTCATGTGATAATAATGCATGTAGATGCCAATAGGTTGCCCTTTACATTATATATGATTAAAAAAATGGAACCACCTCAATGACAAATCGATTTTAGAAGGATAATAAAAATATCTGACGTCACCTGCTGCTTCATGTAATTTATGCCATAGGTAAAATTGGTAATTGACCTCACACCAGCTTACATATTGAAAATGATCTGGGAGTAAAATTCAATATCAAAAATTCTAAATGTTGAATGTACCCTAAATTGTAAAATTGGTGAGTTACTGCATCCCTTACCAATGAATGATGAAATTAACGATAATGAAAATCAAGCCTGTCCACAGCAAGATGGCTGATAAGCTCATTGCCTGTCAACCATAAAATGAGCTGCAAAATGACCAAGCATGATACTGAAGTTAAAAAAGCTAATTAGACTTATATGATAAAGAGTCCTGTTAATCTTCCTGTTTATGCCAATAAAAGTTCTACTCCGAGATTATGCATATGAGTACCAACAGCCTTTTTGTTGTCCCAGGTAAGTGCCAATATATGGATATATAGGATAAGCCAATTCCTGATACACAAACAACAAAATACAAAACTTGAAATAATTAATGTTGCAGTTCCTTGCCAGTTCATAGAGTAATGCTTTAAATACCTCAACAATCACAAGCAATAAACATGCGTTATATGGCGTGAAGGTGGGGNGTGATCCACCACTACAAATCAGCTGTGAAAATTTCATCATGGGTTGTACGGTAGGACTTCACGCAATCTTAGATCAAAGACTTGCTTTTACAACCTTGCACACATATTGAACTGCGTATACCTTTTTTTTCTCAGCTCATGTGACATCATGCATCGCTTGCGAGAAAGCGAGAGTAAATTAGAACTGTTTTACCGGTTGCATGTCACTGTTTTTGTCATGTTTTATTAGTCCTAGGCTTAAACTATTGCTACGAACACCAAAGTGGTTTAACACAATTCAAGTGCTCAAGTTGTTCTCATTTCTTCTGAGGGTTACTTGTGTCATTTTTGGATGCGCAAGTAATACTGATGTCTGGTAGGCAATTGTAATGTACACTTCTTAGGCTTAGAAAAACTGTAGTAAGTCACCTTAAGTAAATGAATGCTTAGATACTTAAGTAACAGATGTAAAAAAGAGTAGATACCAGTAAGGGAAACTGGGGATAAAAAGAAGTTGGACAATTAAGTTTCATGTTTGTCATGTGAAAGGTGACAAAGTGTGTGTATTGCCTTCAGATGATTTATATGGTTGTGCTGTTAGTTCTGGCCTTATTTTCCACAGTGGGAAAGAGAACTCAGTTAAGTAACTGTAGTGGGATAACACACCTCTTTTAAAAATCCTTATATCTGTTCCTGCAAACAACGACTTAGCTCTTCCATAATCACTGATGACCATCTCATAATCACCCTGTAGCAAAAATAAAATTACAAATAAAATGGTTGGAATTAAAGTATGATCAAAATAATTCCAACCATACTATAACTGACAAAAGTCAGAACTTATTATGACTTGCTGGATTATTGCAATATAATTATTGTGATTAATACATAAAATTTCTTGCACTCACTTGAGAAATATTTTTCAACACCAGGAAAGAACTTTTGTATTTCCAAGCAGCCATGTTATGTTCTATTTATTATTATATAAACAACAATGAAATACCATCATTTAACTTGAGCTACAAAACGCATGACTTTTTATGTAACCATAGCAATGGTGATCTTTTCATGTATGAAGATAACATGTTATTTTTTTGTGTGAAGATATCAGGTTTTGGCACAAAAGCTCACCTGCTCATTTTCATTGATGTTTATTAGCTATAGAAGATTAGCCATGATGCATAGTGTTATTACTTCATTTGTACTCAAAATACCTGTTGAATATTTTTCTCAATACTCTGTGGTAGGCTAAACAGAAATCTAAACCTCTGTAGGACATTCAGTGCATTCCTTGTTCTGTCAGCATCATCTTTACGGCCCAGCACATCTTGAAACAAACCCTCAGCATTTTTACTTGCACCTGTGTGACAGAGATAGTTCTTCATGACAACAGCACTTTAGATGTACTTTCATTAAATTATTGCTGCAAATTCTTGTAACAATTTGCGTATAGTTGTAGATAAAAATGGTCGTGAGGTTAAACTCACTGCTGTAGCAAAGTTTAAAACAGTGAGCAGTGTTATGTTTAACCATGGATACGTACCTTGCACAAAAGACTCAAGTTTTTCAACAATGGATCCTCCATCACAGCTGCTTTCATCACGCAACATATCATGCTGAACACCTAATAATCAACTCAGTCAAGGAAGTTATAATTACATGTATATGAGGTGTATGTAAAATTCTAGTTAAGCCCCCCCTGTTATAGCTAGGCCCATCTATGTACAGACAAAAAAGATATCACACTTTCACCTCTTTCATAAATGAAATCAATCTCACAGGACCAGGAGGTCAAGAGTAAGGGAAAATGTATTTTTTACTACATGTTTTCGCTGTCACACAGTTATTACACTCTGACATCACCCACTGACTCAAGAATCACCCACTGNCAGAGTTTTCTTTAAGAACAGAGCCTAAGCATATCTCTGAGGTAGGGTGTAAGTTTGGAAGGTTTGCTCAGGTGGACTGTTTCATATGTTTGACATACAATGGTGATTCATTCCTCCTGAGGGATGTTAGTATGTAGGGTTGCAATGTCCATTGACACTAGCATTGTGTTCATTGCCACCTTTGTTTTCTCTATATAGTTTAAGAAATCTGTTGTAGTATCTTTACAGTATGATCTCTGTAATTTAGCAATAGGCTGAAGGAGGTAATCAGCAAATAATGAGATTCATTCTGTTGAACTATATCACTGCTGGATATAGCTGGTGTTCTTTGTAAGCATATAGAAACTGGAATTTGTGGTGGATTTGGCAATGATGATGATAAGTAAGTAAGCAACATGTTGGATACATGCTGGATGTCAGAAGTCAGATGTCGGATGTGGGATGTCAAATGTTAAAAGTAGGATATCAGATCTTGGGTGTTGGACATTCTATCTTGGATGTCTGATGTTGTTAGTCAAATGTCAGATATTCTATGTTGGATGTTAGATGGCACTGATGAGCTTCTGTACAAGGCTGAACTGTTTCCCAGTCAAAGTTTGGCATGGCTGCACAAGTAGAATTCAGCTTCTAGATCTCAGCATCGACAAACCATTTGAAAAGTAATTAGTTCACTGTCTGCCAACATAAGGCTCATACAGGTGAAAACTTGTAGTTGTACACTGAAGGCAAATTGACTGCACTGGACAGGCATTGGAATTCAGTTCAGTGGTTAGAGCAATCAGCAGATATGAAGAAAGTCATAGGTCATTGGTACAGTGAAGTTTTTCCTTTGCATGTAGTCCCATGCTCAAACATAATATCATTTTTTATAGCAGATAACTAAGCATAGCATTAATCATGTTAACTAAACAAAACTATTACAATCATAATTAATTAAAAAAAGACACACATAGCTTATCAGCAAGGATACTAATAAGGGTATCCACAGCATCTAAGAATGTCCCAACATTCTCCTTAACAAATGCCAGAGGACCAGTTGCTCGTCTTGATTCTTCATGCCTCAGGTAGTTCAGACCAGCTTTCAAAGTAAAAAACCTGAAGAAAATGGGAATGTTGATAAAATAAATAAATAGATAAATATATAAATATAACAACAACAACAAATCAATCCTAGTGCCAATGGGGCATAGAAAATCACTTAGAAATGGTAATACCCATAAATGTTTGGTCAGGAAATAATATGTAGATTTAACCAAGCCTTAAAGCGGGACTTCAGATTACAATAAGTTAACCTGGCTTAAGCCTGCAATCCAATCAAAAACCAGTACCTGGGCAGCGGTCAACTTCAAAAACATGCAACCTTCTGAGCTCTAAACTTGAGCCCACAATNATGTTTTTCAGAAGTCATACCGAATGTTTACAAGTGACATGTGACTTGTATTTTTGCACTATGTCTTGTGATTTACAAGCTGGACCCTTGCAAAAACACAATCAAACTCTTGCAAAAGTTTTATTAAATTTGATTCTTACCATCTTCTACATGTGTAGCACTACATGTGTAATTATAAGTTGGACACTTGTAACCTGGACTTGTAACGATTTTTATTAAACTCATTTTCGTCTCCGCTTGTAAATACCATGGTCTGACTTGTAGTTACAAGTGTAAAAGTTCATTAAATTGACCCCAGAAATAAATGCTTGCTGATGAGCCACTAGCCCCAGATGCAGACTTTACCTCTTTCAACATTAAATCTCATAATCACTTACTCAGTATCCGAGTGTCTTTCTAAAAGAAACCAACCAGGAAGAAAGTTTTCACTCAGAATGTTTCCACTTCCTTCACGGGAAAGAAAATATTGATTTAGTACATCGCTAATTTGCTTACAAACCCTTACTTACCTAGAGAATATATTGCATGGTCACGCGGAGATACAAAATTTCTCTTTGAGTGTTGAAGAATATTTCACGAGAGAAATTTTGTATCCCCAAGTGGCCATGTAATGTTCTATTTATTATATAAATACCAATGAAATCCCAACCCATTTCACTTTTGCTGCAAAAGATGCCATTTATTATGTAACCATAGCAACAGTGACCTTCTCAAATGTGAAGATAACATGTTACTTTCACATGTGTAGATATCATGTTTTCACCCAAAAGCTCAACTGATATTTCATTGGCTTTTATGAATTAAGTTACAGCAATAATTTGTCTTATACTTATGAAAACATAATAGAAACTTAGTTAAACACCACTGAAGTACTCAGTTGACTAGTATAAGGTTAAGTTTGTTTCTCATAGTTCCTTGAGATGAGATTGTTAACTTTTTCATAAGTATAAGACAAAATCTTAAAAGTTGTTGTCACTGACTTAAAAATCTTAAAATAGA